ATCACTAAACATACAAACATACCTTAAAATTCATGAGCAAGGACCATAATAAAGTGAGGTGTTGTATATGGTATACGATTTCCATTTTCCCACCATATACATCACTAAACATACAAACATACCTTAAAATTCATGCACAAGGACCGTAATAAAGTGAGGTGTTGTATATGGTATACGATTTCCGTTTTCCCACCATATATACAATTTGGGTCATTTTACTTGGTGCCATGGGCTAGGAACTCTTAGGACTGGGAAACAATCTTGGTTTCCCAACAATCTATATCATATAGGTAAAAACTGTAAAACATATCACAGTGCAGATGAAATCTAACACTACTAGCTCATTTTATGCTGCTATGGAAGCAGTGAATTAAAATTAAGTCCTATACTGGGGATTGGGCCTTTTATCAGGGCAACTGAGATCAACTGTAAAGAAATTTTCAAATTTCCCTTCTTATCAGGCAAACGGATGGACAATGAAGCCAGTTCAGAGGCCCAGCCAAGACAATGATGCACAGAGAAGCTCCCTCGAGCTCCAGCTGTCACCTAGTACTTCGAAGACACTGAGAGGTAATACTGCAAAGTCGTGCTGTCATTTTTTTAATGTCTCACATATATTCCAAGCAATATCCATTAGCAAACAAACATCCAGGAATAGTGTCATCTCATCTTCTACTAATAACCCTTTATTTAGTATCTTAAAAAAGATTTTCTAAGACACAAAACTTTCCATCAAAAAGTTGTTTATTTAAAAATACCTTCTCCCAATTCTGATTCCATATCAGATTAAATCAAGAAGTGATATTACAGCAATAAATCATCAAAGTCATGAGTAGGGAGGATGGCAATGACCCCATTAGCTCATTAGTATAATCTAGTAAGTGAAATACAAATTCAACTCATTCACTTCTTCACAAAAGGCAGACATAAGCGGTATACTTCATATAAAAAAACTAGTTTATAAAGCTTGTCTTCATATTTCAGTTTAAGGTTCAGCTGATATAAAATGCCTTAAAAGACCATCCAAGCAATGCTTTGGATTTTCTTTTTTTGCAAAATTCAAGGAAAACATGATTGTTTGAAGTTTCTTCACTGCTGGTGAATTAGTTAAGAGCTACCTGAGATTCCTTTGCACTTCCACTCTTCCACTCTTTGAATTTCCAGTGATTAAAATATGCCAGAGACATAATTTAGAGAGCGCTAGAAACGGCACACAGATCTCAATGCTTAAAAAAGTTTCTGGCCAGGCACAGTGGCTCATGCCTGTAATCCCAGCACTTTGGGAGGCCAAGGCGGGCAGATCACTTGAGGTCAGGAATTCAAGACCAGCCTGGCCAACATGGTAAAACCCCGTCTCTACTTAAAAACAACAACAACGACAACAACAACAAAAAACCCAGGTGTGGTGGTGGGTGCCTGTAATCCCAGCTACTCAGAAGGCTGAGGCAGGAGAATCACTTGAACCTGGAATGGCAGAGGTTTCAGTAAGCCAAGATCGCGGCACTGTAATACAGCCTGGCAGCAGAGTGAGACTCCATCTCAAAACAAACCAACAGCAACAAAAAGAAAAAACCAACAACAACAAAAAAACCAACAGAGTTTCTGACAGGTTTTGCAAGTTTTTTTTTTTTT